GGGAGACTGGCCAGGGTGTGGGAGGGACGTGTGAGGGCAGGTGGGAGCCCCTTGGGCGAGGCACTGTGGCCGGGCCACCTGGGCGCTGGGTACTGTGTTCACCCTGTCCCAGTGGGGTGAGGACAGCTCCTCTGCCTGGGGGCTTGGACTTTGGGGCTCTGGCCCCAGGGGTCTGTGCATTCAGCTGACTCCCAGGTGACCGGGTGCCAGGCACACTGTGGGGGCCACCAGGGAGGGGGAGGAGTCCTGCAGCCCATGAGGCTCCTTTGTCACCCTTCTGTGGGCCATGGGGGTGTCCTTTGCTGTTCGTGCATCTCAGGCTTCTGGATGGGGGGGCCTGGAAACAAGAGGGGGTCCACCCACCTGCACTACGAAGCCCCACTGCAGCCATGTTGTCCCCTCGTGAGGGTCCCTCGTTACACATTGGTTTCCTTGTTTATTTACTTCCTTTAATTTGGGTAGTGGTCCGAGCCAAGAGCCTGCGGCCTCTGTCTGGGTGCCCCCCCAGCCCCCGCCTCCCGCCTGCCCCTCACTTCTCCAGAATGAGTCACCCGCACTTTCTCCTGGGCCCCTCTTGAAATTTCTGTCCAGTCTGTGGACCGGGCAGGCTGGGTGACGCCCCCAGGAGACCCGACTTGCACCAAGAGGAGTTTTGTGGAAAGCCCTTTTTCTTCACTTTGTTCGGGACCGGCTTCCTCTGCCCTCGCCTCTCTCCACCCCACGAGGTTTCATAGGAGTCCCGGGGCAGGCCGGTCTGGGTGTGGGTCTGTGTTCTCTCTCAGCAGCTGACGGTGTGTAGGGGCGAGGTGTGGTCTGAGTTTAAAGACAGAAAGAGGGTCTCCTGCGTCTGAGGGTCTGGCCGATCCAGGCCCCGAACGCCTCTCGCTCACCGTGTCGGATTCAGGAAAGTCATTTCTCCGGTCGGGGACTCAGTTGTGACAGCTGTAAAATGGCATAGTTGGGCGGGGGGTTCTCTCGGGCGGTGCTGACCCTACGGCCTCCTGGCCCGCAGCCCAGCCTCTGACCCCACCTCCTCCCCCTGTATCTTCACCCGCATTCCGGACGTGTGCCAAAGAAGCTGATGGGCGCACCTTACGAAGCCTTGCGTAACCCCACCATCAGGCCGCACAGAACAGCAGAGCCTGTTCCTTCCCTCCTGCTCCCACCACCGCGTCCCTGAGGAATCCCGCCCGTTTCCCTGGATGTGCTCGCTTCCATTCTTGTGTTACCTCCGTGCTTGACAGGCTTATGTTAAACTTTATATTTTAAGTTTCACCTAACACCTGTCGACTTTGCGTCTTGCAGAGAGGGCTTAGCGCTCAGACCACGTCCTCCCCGGCCCCGGCCCGCCTCGGTCACACCACCTGTGCTTTCTTTGGAACAATAATGTGGGGCATGTCTGTAAATACCGTCCAGAGCTGAGCCGTGAGTTCCCGTAATTGTACATCCTCTCCCGAGGAGCTGATCCTCTGGACAGAACGGCCTTTCCTGTCTGCCTGGTTCCCGGAAGGTGCTCGTCACCGGCTGGGCTGTGCTGTTGTCTCTTCTGGTTCCTCGAAACAACCGAAGAGCTGGTTCCTCGTTGTTCCACGTCTTCCTGGACACGGCCCTCCCGCCCCCGTTCTGCCCACCGATCCAGGCTGGCATCCCTCCCTGTTCCTGCTTTCCCCCCGTCTTGATTTTCTTCCTGGTCTGCTGGCGCGTCCTCCTGGGCACAGGCTGTTCAGGGCCCGTGTCCTCACCCAGGCCCGGTAGGCTCCTCGGTGGGCGGTCGGCCTGCTGGGCCGTTGAGGGAATGTGGCTTCTGGCGGCGTGCCCGTCGTATCCCAGTGGCTGAGCCTTGGGAAAGTGCTTCCCTGTGTCGCGGGGACAAGGAGCCTCCTTTCTGCCTGAGACGCCCTCTTCCCAAGTGGCCTCGGCCTTCGGACTTGTGCGTCGGCTTCGCACTGGCCGATTTTAACAAGGACCCTCTAAGTCAGTTTAGTGAGAGCCTCGCCCTGGATGTCGGATCGGGTCCCCATCCCCCAGGGGGTGTCTGGTCCCCCCGGCCCGCTTCAGCAAGAATCCTGACCCCATGCCTCCTTAGTAATTTCCAGCCCACTGACCCCCTGCTCTGTGGCTGCAAATCCCCTCTTTGTCACGCCGTGTCCTGAGCTGAGCCTGGGTGAACAGGGACGTCCCCGTGCCCACAGTCTGCTCTCACTGCCAAGCCCGCGCTGGGCTTTCTCTGACGCACCCGCACGTTCTGGTTCCAGTGCTGCCGCCTGGCTTTTGAAGGGCGGCAGATTGTGTCACCCCGAGATGGGCCTCTTTGGCGTGAGGATTGTTTCGAGCTGGTTGTTTTGAGAGTCAGCAGACACAGGAGATACCCTGGAGTGGAGTGGAACCTACCCATTTGCCGGGGACGTTCGCGCTGAGAAGCGGAACCCCCACGTGCAAGGGTGTGCCCCGTCCTGGACCAAGAGGAGTCCGGGCCACAGAGACGGGCCCAGACCTGAATCTGTGTGACAACCGCACGCTCACTCTTTCTGGTCGCCTTTTTCCTTCTGTCTTTGCTCAGGAAACTCCAAAAGACCTGGGGGTTCTGTGTTGGGGCCCAAGAGAAAAGACCAAAAGTGTATTTCCTGTTATGCCACAGGCGCCCCGGGAGCCCCACCTACCAGGCAGCTTACGCACGGGCTCTTAGAGCAGGTGCGGCTCCTGGTGGGGTCCCCTGCTGGCCTGCAGGTGGCTGTCTCCTGCCTGTCCCCACGTGGCCTGTCCTCTGCTTGTGCGGGGATGAAGACTCCCCTCCTCTTAGGAGGAGGCCAGTCCTAGCAGATTGGGGCCCCAGCTCTTGACCTCACTCAGCCTTATTGCCCCCTTAAAGGTCCATCTCCAAATGCACTTACAGTGGGGGTCAGGTCTCCACCCAGGAACTTGGGAGCAGGGTCTTTCCTACCTCTGTCCCTTCCCCATCTGTCCCTGTCTGGAGTTTGTGCCTTACGCACGGGTCGGTCACCTCTGGTGATGTCCCTGGGTCACCAGCGGGTCCTGCAGAAGCCACCTGGCCAACTGTACTGGACCAATGGTGGTTGGCCGGGGGTGGGGGGGAAGGGGGGTGCTGGAGCCGTGTGCAGCACCGACTGGCCCTGAGTCAGAGGCCACGACACCGGCACTCCATTCCCTTGGGGAGGCCTGGGGTGGGGGAGACGCACCATCCGGGCCACGGAGCTGTCTGCTCCCTCTCGTGGAACCACGGCAGGCCCTCCTGGGCACTCTACTCCTCCCCACGTGGCAGGGACAGGGACCGAAGCGGGAGACCGGAGAAGGGTGGCCGGCAGGGCCAGAGGTACGTGGGTGCCGGCCATCGGGCGAGCGCCGGGCTGGAAGCCTGTGCGAGGCAGGGAGCGGGAGCCACGTCCCCCGTTTACTTCCTTGCAGCCTAAGGCTCTTTTGTAGCTGGGCTGTGGGCAGGCCTCCCGCACCTGAGCGCGGCCCGGGTGGGGCTCAGGGACGTGGAGGAGCCCTCCTGCCCCTCGGTGAACAGCTGGCCGTTCTGGGAACCTGAGCTGACTTTGGGGCCCAGTGTCAGACCTCACGGAGCCTCAGTTTCCCCATCTGTGAAACGAGGAAAAGAAAATCGACCTTGCCATGTTGCTTTAGAGACCAGTAACAGTTCATTTCGGCTGCTTTGCAAGGTGCCGAGCACACGGAAAGTGATGGTCCTGGGGCAGCAGTGGGGCTGGGAGCATAAGAGGGGGTGCCCAGGAGGCACTGGGGGCTCTGATTTCCAGCGCCCTCTGCTCCCAGGCGTTCTCATGCTGCAGGGTTTACGTGAGCCCTCGGTGGCGCGCTCTCCTTGGAAGCCTCGGGGCTGGCCTGTCACAGCGCCCTCTGCCCTCACGGTGCTGCACACAGAGAAGGTCTGGGGAGCCTCCAGGCGGGCTCCCGGGGGAGGATTCAGGCCCCGCGGCCAGCAGTGCGGGGCAAACGTGGTGTGCCCACAGGTGCCAGTGCCGTGTAGATGTGATGCCACCCTCTGGGACCAGCCCGTGTCTTCGGGGACCCCCTCCCAGCTTTGTCAGTGCCTGCCACGGCAGGAGTGGGATGGGCGGTTGTCCCCGGGCCCACGCCTCCTGCTTGTCTACGGGCCTCTCTTCCCAGTCACGGCGCCAGGCCACCCTGGGCGCTCCCAGCTCCAGGACTGACTTCTGTGGACGGTGGGTGGGCAGGCAGCCGAGCTCAGGGTGTGGGGACCTGGACCCCAATACACATTTGCTGTATTTTTATTGCACTTTTACCACATTGCAATCTATTCCACAAAAATGCTGCAAAATTAAGCCTGTTGCTGAGCCCCGCGGAGGGGCCCGTGTGACGTATTTACACAACCATCAGAGCAAAGTCAGAACAGCAGCAGCACCCTCAGCGGCCGGGGAGCGTCCCCGGGGCTGCCGAGCGGCTCTGAGAAATGGAAGACGTGGTCATTTACGTCACTCTGGAGCCAGGAGTCTGTCGACCAGCCCGTGGTTCCATCAGGAGCCCCCCGGGCACCGAGATGGGACGGTCGGCCGTCCGGCTGCAGGGCCCCCAGGAAGGAGGGGAGGCGGGAGTTTATTTCAAGTTAGGTCCAGATGTGAGCAAACTTGGTGGGAGAGGCCAGCCCCGTGGGCTCTGCCCCCTCGTGTGCATTTGGTAGCTGGGCTGGCGTCCGTGGGTGTGGGCGTCGCTCTCTGTCTATGCACATACACGCCACGTATAAATACAAAATAGTACATAAACGCTTCCTTTCCATACAAAAAAGGTGGGTCGCCCCCGCCGCCAGGCCGCCTCCGTCCGTGAGCACAGAGCGCCCGCTCCCCAACCTCCTCCGGTCTCGAGGACGAATACGACGTGTCCTGTCGGACCCACCGCCGAAGGTTCCCGGACTCTGGGAGTGGCCTGTCTGTTCCCAAAGTCACTGAACGCAGGGTGTGGACGCACGTGTCCCTCCTCCGTGGCAGGCCGGCGGCTCTCGGTCACTACCTGCGGGGGGGGACTCTGTGCTCAGGGCCCAGGTCGTCCTCCAGCACGCTGTGCGGCCCGTCCTTCTCCACACAGTCCCTGACGGCCTGCAGCACGATGCGGAGCCTCCGGTCCAGGGCCTCCAGGTGAGGCTGGTACAGGACGGGGGCCACGCGGTCCTTGCTCAGGGACTCTGCCATCAACAGGCTCAGCTTGTACTCCTCCTTGGCCAGGAGCTGCAGCCGCAGGTAGGTGGACTTCCTGACCCTGCAGGGGAGAGGGAGGTCAGGCGCCAGCTCGCGGGAGGCGGTGCCCGGCCTCTAAGGACTGGGCGCGGGGCGCTGGGGCAGGACGAGGGCCCGCGTCGGCCCCGAGCGGGGAGGCCACGGGTTGGTCCTCGGCCTGCCTAGGCCCCTGCGTGCCAGAGGCGCCACGGTGAGGGTCCCGCCTGGCAGAGCAAGGGGCCACGTGAGGCCTGGCAGTACACGGGCAGACGCGGGGCGGGGAGGGACGGCCTGACCCCCCGGGAGACGGCGCTCGGCTCCGCGGCACACGCCTGCCTGGGCCGGGCAGACCCAGTGCGCCTCGCAGACTGCTGTCCCGGCCCTGACAGGAGGATCCGGTGGGGAGCCCCGAAGAGGGTGGCAGAGAGTGCTGGGGACGGGACCCCTGTCCGGGCGCCAGTGTCTTCAGCCGTAAGATGGGCCGTTATGGGGTCTGTGGGCTGTGTGCTGGGAAGGGCCTTGGGGCTCTGGCCTGCATGCTGCAGGGACTGGGGGGTTTCTGCTTAGCCTGGGGACGGGCCGGGGCTCCCTAGGGGGCAGGGAGTGGAGGCCTTACCTGCAGCATTGCTGTAAAGGCACCAGAATGGACAGCTCATCGTGGGAATATTTTCCAAACCTGCCCAAAGAAGAGGAGAATTGTCCAGGGTGTCGCCTGCGTGCCGAGGGTACCACAGAGCAGCCCCGGGGACACCCAGGGCCCTGGAATGAGCACCTCACGTGTGCCCTGCTGGGACGCCAGGGCCGTGTGGCCCGGCCCCCGCTGTCCCCGGCACTGGATGCAGGGCCTGGGATGAGGGAGGTCCTGGAAGGTAGCCTAGCCTTCTGGCCGCTGCGTGGGGCAGGAGCTCATAAACGCAGGGTCCTAGGCAGGCGGGGTGGAGAAGGCAGTCGGTGGTCAGCTCAGCCCAGTGCCGTCTTTTGTGCTGGGAACTCGTGGCCCCCACGTGTCAACTGTCCGGCTGCCCGGTGCCCACTTCTCCGAGGCATCTGAGAATAGCTTTAGTGGCAGCTTTAACCATTTGGGGAGGGCAGGTCCTGTGTCCCTGCCTGCTAATCAGGCAGATGGCCCTCCTTGGTGGCTCCGGCCAGCAGTGTCCACAGGCCCCCACAAAGGGGGCAGGGAGGACCATTTGTCCCTGCCAGCCAGTCCCAGGCATCCATATGAGGCATAAAGGGCTCCTCACAGCCCTGTCCTTCCTGGCAAGCACCCTCTCTGGGCCTCAGTTTCCCTAGGGCAACATGGGGACATAACAGGACCCAGTGCACAGGGTGACTGCCCCTGAGGGTCAGAAGGAGCAACACGACAGGCACTTCCTGCCGACGGGAGCCAGAGGCCAGGGGCCCCCACCCTGCACCACACCCAGAATGTCCTTGGGGAATGGCCCTCCCCGCCGCCACAGTCTGGGCCCGCCAGGTCTGTGGGAGCAAGAACACAGCTCACCCTCTTCCGTTGTCCAAGTGGATGATAAATGTGTCATTCCCAAACTTCTCAAAAGTCTCATAGTGATGACGGTCCATGTTCCCTGTGGACAGAAGCAAGCTGAAAACCCAGGGCTGCCCCTCCCCCCCCGCCCCTGTGAGACCAGAGCCGAAACAACGGAGCAAAGCGTGTGCCGTGGCCACAGCCGGTCACGTGCAGGGTGGGAGCCCCAGGTGCAGGCCGGGGCCGCCGACATACCCATGAGGAAGTCAAAAATGGTCATGTCCATGACGTCCAGCACACGGCGACTGCTGTCATAGGGGGGCGTCTGCTTTACCTCCTCGCAGTAGTCGGGGTCCACTTCCCACCTGCAGGGGAGCCACTGTGAGAAGGCTGAGTTCCTCCTCTGTGTGGACAGGGAGGCCCAAAGCAGCTCAGCACGGCGGGATCACCGCAGCAACGACGGGGGGTGCAGAGAGGCGTCAGCACAGAATAGCGCCTCTGGCCGAGGCTGCATTAACGGGAGTACGGGGCTGGGAGGTGAGCGAGCCACGTCTGGAGGCCGTCATCAGCCCCAGATGCCAGGTTTCTTGCGGGGGGGGGGGGTCGCTGTTAGGAAACAGAGCCTGGACACCAGGCCCACAGAGACACCTCCACGGCCACCTCTCTCGTCTGAGGGACAAGAAGGGCAAGAAGTGCAAGCCGAGTTTGGACACCTAGAGCCCGCGCCTCTGGGCTGGCCAGCGCCACCGCGGGGCGCACCTCTGATTCTCAGGGTGAGGAAGCCCCGTCCCGCCATCTGTTCACAAAGCGGAGGTCTCGTCCGCGTCACAAAGGGAGGCTGGGCGCGCCTCCCTTCCCCGACACCCCTTCGCACCCCGTGGCCCTGGACAGGCCCGAGGCCCCTCCGAGCAAAGCGCTGTCAGAATGAGCAGGTGGGCCCGGCCTGGGCTCGGCCTGCCCAGCACTCACTCTGCCTTCTTGCGCTTGTGGTAGGAGCGCCGCCACGGGTTCCGCCACGTCTTCCTCTTGGCCAGGGACAGGTCTGGCAGGAAGGCCGCCAGGGAGCCCTCGATCTGGTCGGGCTTCCCACACAGCGCGTGCTCCGTAGAGCAGTAGTAGGAACACTCGCCGTAGAAGCAGACGTTGTTGGCTGGCGGCAGACAGACACAGGGGTGAGTAGGGAGCGGCACGTCCCACGCCCGCCCTCCCGCACGTCCGCCTGGGCCTCCCGCGTCCACACCGTCCGTCGGACTCGCGCGGCCCAGATCTCCCATTGCTGCGACCCCGTGGTACGGGACACGGAGGCCCACGGAGGGGGGCTGAGCGGCCCGAGGCCACACAGCTGTGGGCGACGGGACGGCCTCGACAGAAACTCTAGAGTCAACGCTCAGAGGCTTAAAAGGCATAACGGAAGCGTGGACACTCCACGGGGGGAGGGGATGTCTGCGCATCACGGATCCGACGAGGGTCTGGCGTGTGGCACATGTGAGGAGCGTAAAAAGCTAAATAATCCAACTGACGCACGGGAAGGGAGTTCAACAGATACCGTAAAGGCGCAAGGGGCCAACAGGGACGTGGGGAGATGCTCCACACCATCGGTCGTCAGGGGAATGCGGTGGAGTCCACAGAGGCGCCCCTTCTTACCCACCAGGCTGGGTTTGGTCAAGAGAACAGGCGTTTACAGGTGTTGCGGAGGATGGGGAGAGACCGGGGCCCCGGACAGAGCTGGTGGGGCACAAACGGGGGAGGCCGCCGTGGAAACCAGTTTGGAGGCTTCTTAAAAACTTAGGCACAGAATGACCACGCCACGCAGCAGTTCTGCACCCAAGAGACGTGGGCACGTGTCCACAGCGTGCTGCACGCGGGGGCCACAGCAGCCCTGGTCACAGAGGCCGAAGAGTGGAGGCAGTCTGGACGTCCATCCGGCGGTGAGTGGGCAAACAGAGCGTGGTCCACGCACCCCGTGGAACGCTACGTACCCTTAGAAGGGGCGAAGCCCCGACACACACTTCGCTGCAGACGAACCATGGAAACGCGTGTGCCGTGAGAGAAGCCAGACCCGGAACACCACGTGTTGTCAGATGCTGTTGATGTGAAGTGTATCCCACACAGAAATATTGGTGGCTCGGGGCCTGGGGGAGGCGGGAGCTGGGGGTGACTAACAGGGACGGGCTCCTTTTTGGGGTGAGGAGAGCGTGCGGAGATCAGCGGGGCTGTGGCACGACGTGACGCATGTACCAAAAGCCACCGAATGGCACACTTCAAGATGACGAGTTTCATAAAAAAAAAAGGGTGGGGCAAATTTAACTCGATCTAACCAATATGTATAGGCAGTTACTTAAAGAATAAAACGCCCTGGTCACTTTGTTGCCCAAAAGAAGTTAATGAATTTCATGGCGCCCGAATCATGTCTCGATGAAACAAGTAATTTAGAAAGCGGGCACCTCTTGCTGACCAGGCGACACGCCGATTTGTTGCCAGAGGCCCCTGCCGGTCAGGGGCGCGATGGCGCTCGTGTGTGTATTTACCGGGAGAATCTTGCGTTCAGTAACTTGTCTGTTTGGTGGAGAGACCCTCAAGAGCCCGGGGAGTGCAGCAGCCAGAAATCCCCTCCCGGCTGTGCAAACGGCCAGTTCCCCGGACGAGGGGTCTCCTTTCGTGCGGCTGCGCGCCCTGCCCGCATGGCAGTCACGAGGCTCCCGAGTCTTCTGGCCACGCGCTCGCTCCCCATGGACTCCTGACGTGAGCCTGGCAGGCCCTTCTAGCCGCAGTCTCCGTGTCTGGTGGGCAGTCTCCCACGTGGGCAGTCTCCATGGGCAGCGGTCCAGAGGAGATGGGGGGGGCCGGTGCAGGGGCTCCCGCCGTGCCCCGCCGGCACACGGGAGTCTCCGCCTGGATCGCCTGCCTCTCTCTTCCTGCCCCTGACCTCATGATCCCCGATCCGGTGCTGGGGAATTGCTGTGAGGACAGTCTGGGAAAGGTCAGTCTGTGGTCTCGCCTGCGTGTTGACGCAGTTCATCAGCGACCCCCCGACACACGGTGCAGCCATAACCGAGGCGGCAGCCCCACTTTCAGGGGGACAATCTATCTGATCCTGTTGGCCGGAGCTCTGGGATTTGCTAAGCTAAGAGCCTAAGCTGGCTTTGCTCAGAGAGAAAGGCATTTCTTGAGTGCACAGCACGGTCCTCGTCAGACATCCAAATCTGGTTTCTGAAGGAGCAGCCAGGGTGGGGCCCGGAACACTGCCCAGAGGTGCGAAATCGGTGTGGTGTTTCACCTCCTTGTGCCTCGGTTTCCCCACCTGAATGAGGGCCCCGGTAGTGCCTGCTCATGGGCTTGGGAGTATTAAACAGGAAATGCGGGTAAGATCAGATGTCTGACACTGAGTCAGAGGGCAGTGCAGATGAGCGGTCACTAGGTCACCCCCGCACTTGGACGGGGGAGGGGGAGGGGGAGGAGGGGACATGAGCCCTTTCTCGTCTCAGCGATGACGTCTCAGCAGACGGCGGGGAGAAGGTGGGGGCCAGAGTCAGCCCAGGAGAACCTGCTTCCCTGCCACTCTGGGGCCACCGCCTCCAACTCCGGGGACCTCGGGGGGGGGGGGGGGGGGGCAGGACAGGCGACCCCGAGCGAGAACCTGGTCTCTGTGGAGCTGGAGAGCATGTGGCTCAAGGGCTGAGCATTGGGACCGGGAGTGTTCCAGGCCTTTGCACGGCAGGGAGGAGGGTCCAGAAGAACGGAACGCTTACCGTCCTAACCCCACCTGGATGGATCTGGTGTGGGTGGCTCTCAGGTGGGGCTGGAATGCTGGGGAGCCACCATCGCTCAGGAGTGGCCTGAAGGTGTCCGGGCACAGCTCTGGGGACCCTTCTTACCCTCGTGCGCATTTAAACTGGACGCTGTGTCCACAACGTGTGGGTAGAGGCCTTGTGCCTACCCAGCCAGACCCAGGCCTGCGTAGCAGGAAAAAGAGTCACTTGAAAGATGTGGGGCTGAGTGGCTGGGAGGGAACAGGAGGGGCTCCCAGAGCTGCTCACAGTCTGTGTCTTGTCCTAGAGGTGTTTACGTAGGTGGGTTCCCCTTGTAGAAACCCACGGATGCGTGTACCTTCCAGGATGTATGAGATGTGTCCGTGGAGAGTTACCGCAAAGTACAAAGACTTTTGTGGAGCTTGGCACAACTGGGTTCCGACCCAGCCTGCCTTTGTGGGGCTAAGCACAACTGGGTTCCGACCCAGTCTGCCTTTGTGGGGCTCGGCACAACTGGGTTCCGACCCAGCCTGTCTCTGCACTGTTGCTTGGCGGGGGTGCTTAGCTGCTCTCCTGAAAGAAGACGTATCTGCTTAGACTAGGAACCGATTCCGCCTTTTGTTTATAGGAAGGGATCCACACCCTTCTTCACCCACCACATGTGGGACTTCAGTGCTGGGATTCTGGACACTGGTGGCTCCGTGGCCCCTTTGAGAGCCCCCGGCAAAGCTGCCATGCGCCCCGGTGAGACCTCGAGACCCAGAAGCGGGGTTCCTGCAGGGAGGCCGCTGTGCACCAAGAAAGCAAAGTGTAGAAAGTTCTTGACTCATTTTCCTCTCTTGACCTTTCCTCCACTTCATTTGGGGCGGGTTACCGAGTCCCCTCTCGGCGGTGCCCATCACCAGATGACCAGGTAAACGACATGGGACGCACCCACCCAGCGCCACGGGACCCTGACATAAAGAGCAACACGCAGACACCACACAGAGATGTGGAGGGACCTCGGAAGAGTGCTGCCGAGCAACAGAAGACAGACAGACCGCCGGTCACCCCCACTGTGCAAAACCGTAGAAGAAGCAAAGAAACCCTCAGATACGGAAAGCACATAGCGCTGTTGGGGGTACAGGGCAGGATGGGACCGGGGCAGACGGGCCAGTTCGTTGCTTCTCTGCTCGTGTCAAAACTCCTCGAACTTCGCACGTTGATACTGTCTACACCATGCCAATCGTACCTCAACAAAATGCTTAAAATGGGGGGGGGGGG